GGCAGTTATGCATTTGGGAGGTTGCTTCTCTACATTTCTCCACCACTGAAGTTAATTATAAATATTTTATCAATGCAGTCTTTCTGTCAGTCAGCTGTTACCATGGGATACATCCACTTAGGGGCTTGAAGAAACCGTTTCCCCAAAAATATCCCCAAAAAGTTTTATCCTCTTCTGATAATTGTAGTTTCTGCAATATTTTCTGATGTAAAAAAGGGGTGAGAATTAAAATATCAGTTTGACTTCAATGACAAAAGTTGAACTAATTGATTTGCAAATCAAGATACTGATATGAGAATTCTGCTGTGTAAACCTGAGGGCCATAGTTGGTCCTCACCACTCCAGCACCTATTATCTCCCCCTGCACCTCCAGCGACCCTTTCGCGGTCCTCCACCAGTAGTGGCGTTATCCCGACAGATAAGGTCCCCTGTCAGTCACGTCGACCCCAGGGACATCATGACATTTGGTGAGAAGAGCGACGTCACAGATGCTTACCTGACCTTTCAAAAGCTCCTGCAACACTGTGATGGAGGAGCAACAGAGTTGCTCTCAGCTGCGCTCGTGGACGAAGCGTTCTCTTAATAAGAATTCGATTTGTTCTCTTGACTCTCGGGTGTAATGACGTTGTACCTGCAAGTTTCTTTCTACTACCCCCAGCTGACTGTCTTTCACATTTTCAACAACACAAAAAATATGCAACAGGTGGATGCTTGACGATATTATGTATAAAGAATGACTGTTTAATGGGAACATCTTATGTCACACCTGCACACACTTCCATCTGGTTTTGTACGTCCTCATAAAGGGCAGTGTGATATATGCTGTACAACTTGAGTAAGCAGAAGAAATGGAAAACGAGACTTTCCTGGTTAATAATCATCAACACTAAAAGAAGTGCAAGGTACCATGACGAGAATCCTTTTGCTAACACTGCCACCCGGTGCACGGGAAATCTGTTGCACCCATTTTCCAAGGTAATACCAGTTTTCAGTACCACAGTGGAGAAAAAAAAGATAATGCAGCTCCTACATAATGAGACACCTACATCAATTCAGTATATGAGTAAGTGCAGAATTAGTCCAGTAAGTCCAAAGCAAGAAAATACAAGTATGCAGTGTTTCTTTCACTGCATTTATCTGATCAAACCCACTCTTAGTTTGCCAGTATTTTCAGTCTTCACAGACCATGAATGCTAATGGTTTCATTGAGATGCAGAGCATGCTGGCACTATGCTGGGACCCCAGCCTTCATGCAGTGAGTTAGTGCAAAGTCCAGAGATGTATGCGCACGCTCTGAACTAATAGCTTAGCCTATACAATATAAACACACTATTTGTCTCCGCTGGTGCCGGGGCATCTTTAAGCTGGGAGATCTATTCTTCATATGCTGATTTCTTTCCCCCCGTCGCTCTGAATAATAACGCTGACCTGCTCGCCCTTCCCTCCTCCCTTTCTTTTCATCAGTGCCCATTATCATACAGGAAACTGATTGAACTGGTTCCTGTTAATCATCCTATCATCAATTTGACAATTAAGCAGCCTAAAAATTCTCATTCTCAGAAGTCTTATGTCATGGGAGATTTTTTTCTGCTATCTATATGCAAATGACCCATGAAATTCAACTGCGGCTCAGTATATGGTGAACTTTTGTTTGGAACATTGTTCCAACAAACCTGCACATACTGAACATCAGCTATTAAAAACCAGGTCACATATCCAGTGTAAAGAAGCTTTCCGGGGTTATATTGTTATTTATTCGCAGCATCCGCGCATAACTGTAATAACAATTTTGAGCCCCGATCTAATCAACATAGTGTTTGTGTGCATGTGTGTACAGCCTAGCTGCTGAATATGCACTCTTGCCTTCTCTTCTAAAAACCCTATGATTTGCAGGGTCATCCGAGTGCACTTAACAGCGCATAGCAACAGAAAAATGTGCTTTTCTAACCTCTTTTCTCCATGACCTCGACGGAACACGTCACGCAGAGTCAGGAAAAAAGATGTGAAGGAAAATTCATGAAGACTTGGGACGAGACAACAAGCGAATCCGGCTGTTCTCGTGCCGGGCGTTTCTTTTCCTCTCAACTTTATTTATTATACATGGAAGATAAGTAAGGTGACAAACTCAATGCTGTGGGGCTGCAGTTCAAGTAAGGGCTCCATCAATTACTCACAGTAGCTGACAACATAAGAGATATTGTTGAAAACACAAACTATACAAACAGGACAGAAATGTGGAAAAAATATGAATAACATGAAAGGAAAGTAGAAGTGGAGAGAATTGAGCGGTTAATGTAATAATTAAATAAAAATAAGAAATTCAGCAGGGGGGCAGTGCAAATTATATTAAAACATGAGTTTTTAGAGTTAGGTGCTCTTTACCTTTTTTATACATTTGTTTGGTAAAGAGAAGATTTGTCTTTTTTTGCATTCCATATATGTATTTTGTTATGATGATTGATACTGATCTATTGATATCTTGTTAACTAGAAATTTGGCAGATTTGAAAGGGTCAAAGTCTATATTGATGCTATGAAGTTCACAATCATGCAAGGATTAGAGTCTTTTGATTGTTCAAAATAACAATTCACATTAATGTTGTATGTCACTGCTGTGATTGGAGAAGAACTTTCACTTTGGTATCTGCTGCCAATACGGAATCTCAAAAGCCTTGCTGTATGGGTGATTGGGCTTTTTCTTCCCCAGTAGCTGTTCAGCACAGGTAGAGGAAATACTGTAGCAGTGGATGGTGGATTGTGGAAACTCTAGCCAGCAAAAGAGAGTTTCGCTGATGGAGGAGGCACAGAAGGCGATAGATGTAAAATGAGATCGAACCTTGAATGAGCATTCCCTGGATGGAGAGAGCTCCGAGGCTTGAGACGGTTCAAAATCAACATTCACTTGGCTTTTTTTCAACAAGATCAATAAATAACAAAACCTACTTATCAATGCAGCGGGGTGTTTTACTCTGCCTTTAGCCCTAAAAAATGGAAATCGATCTTGTCTTTGTGACAAAGGTACCAATAGTAATACCATTGGACAAGACTTTGGAAGAAATGTTGAACAGTTGTCTGTTTCTACCTGAACCTTACTGAAAAATACAAATAACTTGGAGTTGCATACAATCATTTAAAGTATTAATTCAGATACATCAAAACTGGCAAATGTGAGAAAGCAAAAAGACCCACCCCAAAACAAATCACATTTTAAGATGTTGCACATTTGACATATGACTGTAAATCAGACTGTACATATAAATATTTTTGGATGATCGAGCCAATTATTACTTGGTTATAAATATTAGCTGTGGTTTGAGCCTGCATTGTGACTGCAACACCCTCCCTGTTATATGCCAAAATATAGTAGGATGTAAATTACCTAAATAATTCTTTCGTAATAGCCACAAAGAATATCCATTTTAACATTTCTTTAATATCCACGGCACCCTCTCTTTACAAATGCAGACCAATTGAACTTGAATTA